CTTCCTTCCTTCCTTCCTTCCTTCCTTCCTTCCTTCCTTCCTTCCCTCTTTCATTCATTCTTAAAACTTAATTGACTTTACTTCTATTAAAACAGTATCATGGCCAGGGGTGATGGCACATACCTGTAATCCCAGCACTTTGGGAGGCCATGGTGGGTGGATTGCTTGAGATCAGGCATTCAAGACCATGTGGTGAAACCCTGTTTCTTAAAAAAAAAAAAATACCTAAATTAGCTGGGCATCCTGGTGTGTGCCTGTAGTTCTACCTCCTCAGGAGGCTGAGGTGGGAGGATTGTTTGACCCCAAGAGGTTGAGGCTGTAGTGAGCTGAGATCATGCCCCTGCACTCCAGCCTGCGTGACAGAGCGAGATCTTGCCTCAAAAAAAGGGGGTGGTATCATGCTATGTATAGTCTCCAGCACTTTTTTTAACTTACCATTATGAAGATGCTCTGTCTTGTGTGTCATATTTGATTCATTTTGACTGCTGTATTCATACTGCATAATAGTCCAGAGGGGGTGTGTATCCACTGTCTATTTACCCACTCTCCTATTGTTGAAGAGTTTGGTTGTTTTTAGGTGTTTGTAATTGTTAACAGCTGATATGAACATTCTTGTACATACCACCTCCTATTTTTACCTATGAGAGATTATTTCAGGAATAAAATTGCTGGGCCATAGGGATATTAATTTTCAACTTTAGGAGACAATGCCAAACTGTTTTCCAGTTTGTGCATTGATGTGTACTCACACCAGCGATGTCTAAGAAACCCTGTAGATTTCATATCCTCTCTAGCACTTGATATCATCAGACTTTGAATTTTTGTCAACTAAATGGATATCTTATTATAGCTGTAAGTTTGGTTCTTTATGTTCATTGGGCATATTTATTTCCTCTTTTCTGAAATGACTGTTTGTAATGTTTTGTCCGTTTTTTTCTATTCAGTTATTTATATTAAAAATTTGGTAGATATTCTTTATATATTGCTGATACTAATCTTTTGTTGGATATATATGTTTTGAATATATTTTTACAGTTTGTAAGTTTGTCTTTTATTTTCTTTAAGGTATATTTAATAACCAAAAGTTATGAATTTTATGTAATCAAAATCTATTAATCTTTTATGGTCCCTACCTTTTTGTGACTTAGGTAGTCTTTTTCTAACCCATGGTCCAAAAGATACCTATACTATCCAATAAGATATAGAGGTTTTTTTTATTAACATGTAAGACCTTAACCCCTCTAGAGTTGATTCTTTTTAATTTAATGAGGGATTCTGCTTCATCTATTCTTCACCTAATCCATAAAGATTATAATTTTGAAATCTCTATTTACTGAATAATCTCTTCTTATTCCACTGATCTGAGTTGTCACGTGTGTCATACACTGAAGTTTCATAAATGCCTGGGTCTATTTCTAGACTTTTTGTTCTATGACATTGTTCACTCTGTGTGTGTGTGTGTGTGTGTGTGTGTGTGTGTGTGTGTGTGTTTCTCTTTGGATTATTTGTTTATTTATTTTTAATCATGGCTTACTGCAGCCTTGACCACTTGTGCTCAAGCAGTCCTCCCATCTTACCCCTCAGGTAGCTGGGACTACAGGTGTGGGCCAAAGTACTAGGCTAATTTTTAAAAAAGTTTAGTAGGGACTGGGTCTCACTATATTGCCCGGGCTGGTCTAGAACTTCTGGGCTCAAGCTACATCTTTGAATTTTAGACACAGATATACATTCCTGGATTTTAAGTACTCTGGATTTTTCACTAGGTTTTGGACATAGTAAAAACAAGCATTCGTACAGTTCTTCCACGCATCTGGAAGGTTCCTGATGTTGAAGAAGTAAATTTATATCGGATTTTCAACCGAGTTTTTAATCGCTTACTGTGGAGTCATGGCCAAGGGCTGTGGAACTGTTTCTGTGATTCAGGGTAAGTTCTAAGTCATCTTTTATTGTAATCAGTTTTAATATTTTACTATTGAGTTACAGAGGTAGTCCAATAAAATGCTTGAATGATCTTTTAAAATATGGATTTTCTTACTGCATGTAATTTTTAGTACTCAACTATAATTTGTATCAGTTAAGCTGATTTAGATAAGATGATGAATATGAACACAATACCACCTAATTAATTTGAATTCAGTGGAGAGAAGGTAGTCCAATTAAAGAAAATACAAACCAATATCCTTGAAGTTCTTCTGCAGTCACCGTTATGTAACAGACTTCTAAAATTATGGCTATGCTTCACCTCCTCCCCAGAATCCCAGGGCTGCTAAAGCTGCTGTGACTCATTGTCATTTTAGCCTCAATATATCTAAAACTAAACATTCCATGTCCTTTATTCAGAAATGGCTTCCTTTCTTGGCTTCCCTTAATCCTGTTGTTATTGTCTCAGTCATACAAGTTGGATATCACAGGGGCATCTGCATCTTCCTTTTCTCTCACTGTCTTTACTCAGTCATTTGCTAAATCCTATTAGTTTTTCTGTCACATTCCCACATGGCTAAACTAGCTTGTTTCCATTCATTCTTTCAATAATCATCAAGTATTTACTTTTGTGCAAATATTTTGGAGATACAATGTTGAATCCGACAAAAATAATAGCTATATCACTTATTGTGTGAGATGTACTGTTCTAATCACTTTACATGTGTTAAGTGATTTAATCCTCATAACATCAGTTTGAATCAGATTTTATATTATCTCCATTTTATAGATAAGGAAACTGAGGCACAGATAGGTGCTAAGGACCTAGTGGAACTGGGATTTGAACTCAGTTAGCCTTGACCCCAGAGTTCATGCTCTTAACCTATAAACTCTGATGTCTCCAGCAGATGAAGTATGATATATACAAATGAACCATTTGATATGGTTTGGCTGTGTCCTCACCCAAATCTCATCTTGAATTGTAGTTCCCATAATCCCCACATGTTGTGGGAGGGACCCAGTGGGAGGTAATCGAATCATGGGGGTGGTTATCCCCATGCTGCTGTTCTGTTGATAGTGAGTGAATTCTCATGAGATCTGATGGTTTTATAAGGGGCTTTTCTCCCTTTTACTTGGCACTTCTCCTTGCTGCCACCATGTGAAGAAGGACGTGCTGGTTTCCCGTTCTGCCATGATTGTAAGTTAGTTTGTTCCTTCCCTCCCTCCCTCCCTCCCTCCCTCCCTCCCTCCCTTCCTCCCTTCCTCCCTTCCTTCCTTCCTTCCTTCCCTCCTCCTTCTCTCTCTCTCTCTTTTTGGTTCAGATGGAGTCTCACTCTGTTGCGAGGCTGGAGTGCAGTGGCATGATCTTGGCTCACTGTAACCTCCACCTCCTGGGTTCAGGTGATTTTCTTGCCTCAGCCTCCTGAGTAGCTGGGACTACAGGCATGCACCACCATGCTCAGCAAATTTTTGTATTTTAATAGAGATAGGGTTTCACCATGTTGGCCAGGATGGTCTCAATCTCCCGACCTCATGATCCGCCAACCTCAGCCTCCCAAAGGATTCTAAGTTTCTTGAGGCTTCCCCAGCCATGCTGAACTATGAGTCAATTAAACCTTTTTTCTTTGTAAATTACCCAGTCTCAGGTATGTCTTTTTTATCAGCATGAGAGTGGACTAATCATCATTATAAAAGAGCTACAGATGATAAAGTATGACAGGATTTTAGACAAAAGGAACCTTTTTTGGTAAGACAGCTAAGTGAAATGAATAGATTTCTAGGCATTTTTGCTTCCAGTTTTTTGTTTCTTGTCCTAACATCTTACTGTTGGAATTATTTCCTAAAATCTGTAGTGATTTTCCTCCTTTATCATTTAAGTCTAAACTTCTTATCTGCAGATACAAGGCTATCTAGTATGCTGTTTTCTTATTCCCCAGTCTTCCTTCTCATTACTTTCCTACTTGAATTCTGTTCCAGAAAAACAAACTCATTGTTTTTCAGATTTCTTAAAAAAATTGTCACTTTCTTCTTTAGAACTGTTGATGTCATTAAATATCTGATTGGATGGCTTTCTACAACCCAACCTTCTGGTTCCCTCTGTATTATTTGAATCTTATGTAAAGCCCCATACTATACCTACCTCTTCTGTAAAACCTAAACAGACTGTTCCATTCCGAAATGATCTCAGAATGTCTTCCATTTAAATATTTTAGCCATGTGATACAGAATCATTCATATCATCTGGAAACTCAGTCTTTCTTCCGTGTTTTTTTCTTAGCTGCCATTCACCAATAGGGAGACTTAATAAGACACCCTGGGGTGTGATGAAATCTGAGATTAATTTGGGCTATTATTTCTACAGAGACTTAAGTGAAACATTTGAGCTCTGCAGCCCCTTGGTTGATGGCTCTCTGTAAAAGTTCTCCCAATCTGAACTCATAATGGAAATGTTTTTTCTGTTGGTTGATCTATTGGCTTTATGCTGTATATGAATCCCAGCTACTCTGTACCATGGAGAGCAATGAGAAAATCTGTTAGTGAAATCAGTGCTGTGTCTCTGAATCCATAGGTAATCTCCAACACCAGACTCTAAAGATACCCATAAAGTGGTGCTTCCTTGCTTCTAGGGTTCCTCTTTTCTGAACTATTTTGCTAACATACTTTAACTTGATTCAGAATCCTTTTCCCTATCCTTGGTACAATACTGCCTGCCAGTTTCTCTGATGGTATCTATTAGTACTAGTAATCATAGGGATAGTAAGTAGAATTTATTGAAGGCTTACTAAATGTCTGCCATTGTTTTACATATTAAATATTTGTATAATCTCCACAAAAAGTATTTGGAGTAAACTGTTACCCTCATTTACAGATGAGGAAATTGAAGCATAAACAGAGTATATAATTTACGCAGTTTCTCATAGTAACTGTATGAGCCTGTATTTAAATCCAGGTAGTCTGAGTCAAAAGCCCAAGCCCTTAACTCTATGCTTCATTGATGTTCCCTAAAGCAGATTTGCCAATGGTTGCCAAGCTTGTTTTACTGCAGGTCCATAGCATTAGCCAAATCGCTAGCCTGCTATGCCTGGGCAGGTGGGGCAGGAATAGTTTTGAGACCATTTGACTCCACTCTCATCTACTTCTTTCAATTTAGTAGTTTAAAGAGGTGAGTTTAATATCAAATTTTATTTTGCATTAATGAGTTTCTTAGGTTTCCTAAATGTAGTGAAGTCACATAATACTAGTACTATGTGTGTTTGATTCTCAGTTTGGACCCAGAATAGTTCTTCTTTATCCTACGAATCATGCCTTGTCAGTGTACACTCCTTTAACCTTTGGTCCAACAGTCTAACTGTCATGGGGAAAATCTACTCTTCTCAGTTTTTAAGGAATTATTTTAATCTGAAGTTGAACTTTCTTTCACAGTTAGGTGTAAAATCTTAGAAAAATATAATTCAAGTCTTTGATTTTATCCAAGAATCCAAGGCCTTGATTCTTGCTTTTGCCTGTCAACATCCCAAACAATAAAACAAAGTAAGAAAACCATCCCCTGTGTACCTCCAGAAACACCAGGGTAATGTAGATCTTTGTGGTAGGTTTCCCTAGATTGGCCAAGGGGTTTCACTGATGTGTCAAACCGAAAACACTCTTGTTCCTCTTCCAGGCTGCTGATGAGCATGCCCAGTAACCCTTTTATCACATGCAGCATCTTGGGGGTGTTATGATGCCCACATTTGGAATGTGTTCACTTTAAGGAAATAGCTCTTGGAATTTCCATAAATAAGATTATATACCATGTTTTACTGGCATAGAGGAAGTCTGGGGTTCTATGGGACTCAAACTTAGGCCCAAGAGCTAGGGAATAGTGGCTATGGGAAGTGGCATTTCCGCTGAGAGTTACAGGAAGAATAGAGTGGGCTAAAGCCAAGAGGAAAAGGCAGAGGGGGTAATATGGGAGAAAGAATGCATGGTCTGGGAAAGCCTCACTTCCACTCAAAATCCTAATACATAAACCTGAAAGAAGAGAATCTAGCTTGGATTCCCAAGCCAAAAGTATTTTCCTGTGGGGGTTTGACATATAAAAGCTTTTCTTTTAGAATCTTAGGACAAGAAGAAACTTTAAGGAACATTCTAAGACAGCAGTGTATTTCTAGGCTGGATTATGCTTACTTGAAAAGGTATGCATAATGTATGGACTATATAAAATGATGTGAATCTCCCTGTTCTCATGCCACTTTCAATTGGCTGTGTCGTTATACTTTTTAGGTCATTAATCTTTCTGTTGGTGATTACTGTGTTGGTGTGTATAAACTTCAGCAGCCTGGAAGAGGAAAAGAGAGGGACAAGGATGTTTTCTGTTTGAAGCATCAGTAAAACCCCTGGGCCAAACCTAGGGAAATCTACCACAACTTTTCCTTTCTCTGTTCTGCTGCTTAACTTTGGGCTACTCAGTTAGGACTTGTACCAGGGGAGAAACGAATGAATCAGTTTCACTCTTTAGATAACTGCTTTATGAAATGTTTTGATGAGAAAGTGGGATAAAAATTACTGGATTACTGGATAATGTGAGGATTTCTAAGTCTTTGGATTTCATGAATGACTCTCCTTTGTTGCCAGAGGTATTCAGTATTCTATGTCTTACTGTTATATTACTTTAAAAAAGTCATTTAAAGTGATTTCCTTTTATATTTCTGTGAGGATTAGAGAGAGCCAGAAAGAACTTTTTAATCATTTAATTTTTCTTTTTGAATTCACAGATTTTGGTGACCCTATTTCCTTGGAATTTAGATTTAAAAAGCAGGTAGATGGGAACTGGGGTTCTTTGGTAAAAACATTGGTATTTTAGCTATTTTTTTTAACCTCCGTTCGCCTTTTAAAAATACTTCGTGTTGCTAGTGTTGAAAATTGAAATACTGTGGTCTTATAGAGGCATTTCACATCTATTCAGCTATGCCAGGTGCAGGTATGAGTAGGGTATACAGTTGTATATTCAGGTTTCCTTTCTGTAGAGGGGGTACCACTGGCCTAGTGCCAAATTAAATAGGTTGCTTTCATTTTCTTGAGGGTTTTGGTATGTTGAAACCTAAATATGGATTAATATATAGACTAGAATGTAGTCTTGGCTAGTAGTGGTAAATATACACACTGGAAATAAATATGTATCGGACCCTGATTTATATATTTATTTTAAATATTTAAGGGAGAATGAGAGAATGAGAAGCCAAAGCTGGTCATATTATAACTCACATATTATTCAAGAAGTTACATCAGATTTGAGGGGTACAGAAGAAGCTCTTTTAGCTTTCTTCCATTTTGTTCTTTTCCTACCTCTAAAGAAAAATTACCATAATATGAGTCACCTGATAGTAGATCTGATTAAATAGATCCAAAGTCCCAAAAAATAAATATATCCAAGTTGAGAGTAGAGGGTGGTGTTGGAGGTAGACTTTTGTAGACAGAACCAAAATCCCAGCAGAAAGAAAAGTGCTAGGTAGACAATCAAAACACAGGGTTTTTTTGTATGTATTCACATTTATATGAAATTTTATAGGGTCTGCTAAATCAAGTATATTAATTATAAACGTATTCCCTAATTAATTTATTTTTCCAGCATTTTTTGATCAAATTAGGTAAGTAGATTTTATATCTATATCTACATCTGTAAATCTTGATCAATGCATGTGTTATATCTAGTTTTTCTTCTATTTAGCAATAATTAAAATTTTGTTTTTACAGTTAACTATCAAATTACTGTTTCTTAAATTAAAATAACTTTTTTGTTTGACAATTTAAAAAAGCGGTATTTTAAAAGCCCATTATATTTAGTCCGGAACATTTCAGAACACTGAAGAAAATTTGTTTCTTTCAATTAGCTCATTTGAATCTTACTCCTATTAAGAAAACCTCTCATTCCTTGGTGACATGCTATTTGTGGCCACGTTTCTCTGAAAAAATAAACAGCCATTCTAGTAAAAAATTCATTTCTGTTTCTAAGGCATTTTTTAAAAATTCCAAATATATCAAATATCTACAGAAGGTTGAAAGTGGAGTCATTGTGTTTCCCATTGGGAAGTTCACTTCTTCAGGAAAATATTGTTCTGAATACTTTTTCCTTTCTGAAAGTCTGTGCTTTTCTCTCTGAGGGTTATGTGAATTGGTTTATGTAAAATGAGATGTGAATCATTACTAAGTCTCAAACCAGACTTTCCCCTGGAGGCTTGAAGAGTTTCAAGGAATAAGTGTGAGGAATAAATCTTTCTTTCTGTGTGTGTGTGTGTGTCTCTCTCTCTTTTTCTCTCTCTCTCTGTCTCTTTCTCTTTTCCTGGTGGTAAAGTAGTGAGGTATTTTCTGATGTAAACCATAATGCCGTAATGGTAAACTTAGGAATTGTTCACACACGCACACCCGTACCCACACCCACACATACCACCACAAAATTGAAGGAAGTATCTACCATTACCTGCTTTGGAATAAGCTGAGTGCAATGAGGGAGGAGGCATACTGCTTCTGGCATTGCAGTAGTGCAGTACTTGTTAAGATAGCATTACTTCTAGCACACAGAATCTGTGCTCCAGGATTATCATAGATATAGTTTTGTCTAAAAGTGTTTTGCAAGGGATGGTCACAATCAAGGTATTAAGCTAAATTCTCCTAGTGAAGAGAGATCAACAATTGTTTCAGCAACTTTTTATTTTTATTTTTTTGAGACAGAGTCTCGCTCTGTCGCCAGGCTCCAGGCTGGAGTGCAGTGGTGCGATCTTGGCTCACTGCAACCTCCGCCTCCTGGGTTCAAGCAGTTCTCTTGCCTCAGCCTCCTGAGTAGCTGGGACTACAGGTGCGCGCCACCATGCCCAGCTAATTTTTTTTTTGTCTTTTTAGTAGAGAGGGGTTTCACCATGTTGTCCAGGATGGTCTCGATCTCTTGACCTCGTGATTGACCCACCTCGGCCTCCCCAAGTGCTGGGATTACAGGCATGAGCCACCGTGCCTGGCCTCAGCAACTTTTTAATCATTTTGAGGGATCATTATTAATGTTAAGGTAAATACAGATTCCGAGAAAGCCTAAATTCCAAGAATACTTAATTTTTGAGAAATTAGCTCAGTATTTAATTTTACAAATACCTTAATATAGAGTAACTACATTTTTTAAGAGGTGTTGGAAAACTCTCCTATTACCCATCCAGGGTTGGCAACTTTAAAAGCTTTAAGAACAAATAGTGCTGGGCGTGGTGGCACATGCCTATAGTCTCAGCTACTTTAAGGCTAAAGTGGGGGAGGATCACTTGAGTCCAGGAGTTGTTTGAGGCTGTAGTGCATCATGATTATGCCTGTGAATAGCCACTGTATTCCAGCCTGGGTAACATAGTGAGATTCTCTCTCTCTCTCACACACACATGCACGTGCGTGCGCGTGCGCGCGCGCGCGCGCGCACACACACACACACACACACACACACACACATCGTATATGCATTTGATGTTGTGTTTCTTTAATATAAAGATTAATTTCCTAATTGATACTTACTATATAACTTTAAACCATTCATAGTTATTGCAAATGTATGAGGTCATTTCTATTTACCTTACTGGTTTGTTGCTAGGGAAGTGATACAGCTGGTTGTCATTTTTAACAGAAAAAAATGAGATCATGTCTGTTTCCATGCCAACAGATCCTCTTGGGAGAGTATATTCAATAAAAGCTCGGAGGTGGTGACTCCTTTGCAGCTCCAGTGTTGCCAGCGTCTGGTAGAACTTTGTAAACAGTGCCTGCTAGTGGTTTACAAATATGCAACTGATACAAGAGGATCACTCTCAGGCATTGGTCCTGACTGGGGTAATTCCAGGTACTTGTTCACATTCTCTAACCCTTGAGAGTTTTATATAAAGTAATGCTAAAACACAGTTTGAAATTGAGAGTGCTTTTTTATTTATATGACTAGGAAAAAAGCTAAAGACTGAAAATTCATACATGCTATTATCTACAAAATATTTTTAATCAGTACAGTCTTTACCTTTAAGGGATTGAACAAGGACAGCAATCACAAATATAAAGGTGATAAAACATACTTGAAAATGAAGTTATTTGACTTATATACTTTCACATTCAAAAGTTCAGAGCAAGAGCATCCAAAATTTGGTAATATGTTTAACTTTTGTTCTCCAATAGAGTTATTTCAACATTTATCCTTGAGCCTACTACAGTTGGGAAGATACCTTTGGTTTCATTTTTATTGTTCAATTTACTTCTGCTATTTCCTTCATTACCAAATATGTAGAAGGTAAAATTTTGTCAAGCTATTTGATAAATGAGTTTCATAAATTAACAGTTGAAATAGTTTTCCAAAAAACATGAAAAACAATATTGCTTTTAAGCTACAAAAATACAGAGTAAAGAAAGTACCCTTTAGCATTTCTCAAGACAACTGTACTTCCCATTAAAAATAAAGATGAATATGTAACTTTAGTTTTAGTATTTGTAAGATGTAGTGCTATTTAGGATAGAAGAAATTAAGCCATGACGTTGAAAAACTAAGCGAGAGTCAAAAAAGTCAGTGAATAGTTAAATAAACAATGAGGGTTGGGCATGGTGGCTCATGCCTGTAATTCTAGCACTTTGGGAGGCCGAGGCAGTCCGGGCATGGTGGTGCATGCCTATAATCCCAGTTACTTGGGAGGCTGAGGCAGGAGAATTGCTTGCACCTAGGAGGCAGTGATTGAGGTTGTGATGGGCTGAGATCACAGCATTGCACTCCAGCACTTCAGCCTGGGCAACAAGAGCGAAACTCCATTTCAAAAAAAAAAAAAACAAAAAAAACAAAAATGAGGAAAATGGAACCACTATAGCTTGGATTTTCTTTTCTTGAAAACACCTAGAAATTGATCTGTTTATTTTAAAAAGTCTCAGGGAGTATAATAAAGCTAACTTTATTGCAAATGTGACCTGTAACAGCAGAGTGGCTCAGAATATTTTTAATAGAAAGTAATAAGAAACATTTTAAATATTTGTTTGTCTTGGATTCTGTCATTGTAATGTTACGGGACATTTAACCTGTTTTTACTCTTCTACAAATAGAAGCTGGTTGATCACAATAATAGTAGTGGTAAAAGTAACCATTAATAAAAATATTTAAATATCAAAGTTATATTCTGCAGTTTTAATGGTTTGACTGGAGCAAATTATTGCAATAAAACTCTTAATACTTTTCATTAATACTTTTGTATGATTTAAAAGAATGATAGCCATTGTTTGGACATCATACCATATAAATGAAGAACCTTCTTGTTAAGGGGTGATACTCTGGGAGCATGGTCAAGAAAATCTTAAATTTCAGTCTAAGAAGGAATTCCTTGAGACTCTTTAATATCACTCCTACAATTCTAGATTTCACAAACTAATTTCTGTTGATGGATCTTGTAGCTTTTGTGGGTACACAAAATAGAATGAGTCTTCTTGGTTACATTGGAGGATAAAGGTATGCTTTACAGTTGCTTCAGACTTTTTTATTTTCTTCCTCTGCTGGTGGTCAAAAGAGATACTCCCATCCATGGAATCTTGACTTCTGGATTTCTGACAAATGGCCAGGATGGCCCCAGTGTTATGATGATAATCATTTTGAGATGTCAGTAAATACACTTTCATTCCTGCCAAAGTTCAGAACCATTTGATAGAGAAATACTGGAGTTAGACATATGGTCATCATCTGTTATTCTGTTACTCTACAGTGCTATTACTGATAAAAGTTACAATGGGGAACATGGTGTAGATGTGAGCCAAGTGAGTTTTCTAATAATGAATTTTGGAATTAAACTTACCTATCCAGTCAAAGGGAGAGCAGAATCAATGCAAACCTTCCACTGTCATTAGCCCATAAAGTCTAGTTCCTTTAACATTGGCCGGAGAGTAAGAAAAGATGCATCCTCTCTGCAGAAAGGCAGAGCCAGAAAGACAAAAGAGGCTGAGCCAAGCATGCCTGTTTTCTTCTTTTAAATCCACAAATCAGATAATTTGGTTCTGGTAAGAGGCTAGGAAGTTCACAGTAGTGAAATTCTTCTACACTGGAATGCAAGGAGCAAAGGGAAGTAAACATTTCTCCCTAATATCTAGCTGTTAAAACCCAAGTTAATGTCACATTAATTTAACAACATGTAAAAAGTGGCCATATTACTTTTCCTCATAGTAAGAAACAGACTCTTTAGCATTTTACTTAAATGTAGAAGTCACATTCTACATTGTATTGTAGAATAAATTGTAGAAGATTGACACATTTTATTTATGAAGTATACTTGATAATATGAATTTATATTTATAATATTTATAGATAAATGTAAATATACCTAATATAAATAATTTATGAGGTACACCTAAATAATTTATGAGGAGATTTAACTTTGGTTAATTTGTTTATAAAATTAAAACAGATGGAAAATAGAACTAACCTCAGACAGGGTTATGGACCAGGTTTATCTTCACCAAAGATCTACAGGATATTTCTTAAGGGGATTTAAAGAGTATATGGCATCTATTACATGGAATAGAGTGGCCTTCAACTTTGCAGCCTCAGAAAAAAAAATATATGCATACCAAATGAAAAGACATTTCTCAGAGGTGGACTTATAATAACTTTGAGCAAATAGAACTGTGTATCTAAAGCTAGGTGGTCAGTTAGAAATACACATATATCTCTCCAGGATACTAGAGTTCTTGAGACCTGCTCAATATTCTACTGTACATAGGCTTAATTGGGAAGCTTTGAGATTTCTGCCACTTTTGAGCCTCAGCATTTCTGGGTTTCTACCTTTCATGTGCCAAGCTTTCACATAAGTTCATTTCATGAGGAGTTCCATAGCTAAAACACATTTTAAAAACCACCAAGTTAGCATTTCTGCTTTTGGTAATAGAACATTAAGTATTTGGATAAATCCTGCGTCTGATGGTAACTAGAAAAGCTGTACAAAATACCACATTTGCTCGAAAGTACTTGTTAACCTGGTACCTGTTAGTGAGTACTTGTTAGTGCCAAGCAGTGCTTTTGACAGTCTTGTGGGCTGAAGGGATAAAATAGGAGTTCAGGGTCTGCCAAAGATGGGGGCTGTTGTCAACACTCTAGATTCCTAGGAATAACAATGCTCGAGATGGCTTGCAAAGCAAAAGATGACAGAAATGAAAAGGAGATAAATTTACAACGCTTGAGGAAGATTTAGTAATCATTTCTCAGAAGAAACTCAGTAAAGACATAAAATTTTTAACAATAGAATTAACAGACTTAACTGTCATATATAGAAGTAGATGTATTAACTTCAGAATTCAGTATATCAGGCACAATAGGAAATTTTACAAAATCAACCATATAGTGGAATTAAAAAAAAAAAACAAATTTCAAAGATTTCAGAAGATTGAAATTATACAGAGAACTTTTTCTGACCAAATGCCTTTAAGCTGGAAAACAATAGAAAAATATAAACAGAAAAATCTATGCTTTGGAAAGTGAAAAAATATACGTTTAAATAATCCATGAATCAAATAAGAGATTATAATGGACATAAGAAAATATTTTGAACTGAGTGATAAAGCTATTCGAAATAAAACTTGCAGAATATGGCTAAACCAGTAATATAGGGATATTTATAGATTTAAATGAATATATTAGGAAAAAGGAAAGGCAAACATTAAATCTAAGCATTCATTTTTAGAGGTAACAAAATAGCATTTAAATAAACCCAAAGAATACAGGAAAAAAATAAATAATAAAAATAGAAGAAATTAATGACATAGTGAAACAAACATAGAATAAAGAAGATAAACACAGCTAAAAGCAGATTTTAGAAAATACTAACAAAATTGATAAACACCTGGTGAGACTGATAAAGAATGTCTCATAGATCAGAAAATAGAATAGATGTTACTAGAGGTAGGAAGGAAGGGAAGATGAGGCTTTAGTACTTAAAGGATAAGGAGCTTCTGTTTGAAATGATGAAAATGTTCTGACATTAATGGTGATGGTTACACAACATTGTGAATGTACTTAATGCACTGAATTGTACAATTAAAAATGGTAAGAAAAACACTAATAGTACATTTCATGTTACATATTTCATTACAATATAAATATTTTAAAAACACAGGACAAATATTCTGATGAACTTTATTTACCCTGAATTTTCCAAATGGGGTCTTAAAATTATTCTGGGGAAATTAGGGGTCTGGTCTTAACTCCAGGAAGAGGAAACAGAAGGTGAGTATAGCTTATGTTTTCAGGTTTAATTTCTACCAGTCTTGAAATGCCTCATATTCTAGAGACCCTCCACGGTCAGCAATAAATTGGTACACGAAAGACAGACTAATTCTGTATCAATCAGTAATTACATAAATACGAGCTCTATGTTTGTATTTAATATAATGGTTATGTAAAGATGTACAGACCTGCCTTAGGGATGAGAAGGATGAGGAGTGAGGCTATGAAACAAATAGGGTAGTCTGAGGTATTTCTCCTTGACATGAGTTAGCAATGAGCCATTTTGGGTAGAAAAGAAAGTAAAGAATAAGGTAGAAAAATAAAAAATAAAAAGAAAGTAAAGAATAAGGTAGAAAAATAAGCTGTACACTTACCACATTTTTTTTTTTTGGTGCTTTACACAAATTCTCTAATCTGTAAGCCCACTTCCTTGAGATAGTCTTCTTGATTTAAAAAAAATCAAATTATTTAACTTCATTGCAAGGAACATTTCAAAAACAATCATCAATGTTCAGCTAGTGTGGGATCTCCCAAGACATATTAATGGAGATATTAAGGTAAATAATCCATTGTATTTCTCTGCAACACTTTAAAATATCCTACAGCACTTGTATTAGGGATGCAAAGTATTTCTTCTAATGTAATTTTATATGCTTTTTCTTAGTTCATGCTGAACTTCTTTTCAAGTCTTAAAAAAAAGTTTCATATTTTTCTGTGCTATTAAAAAGTTTAGGTTTGTGGCATGATAATCTTTCTGCTTTCTAGATTATTTTATACTTCATATTTCTGGGAAAATGAGTATAATAATTATACCCATTAGTTTTAAAACGGAAATTAATATACAAAGATAATTATGTAGAATTGTCTTGACAATATAGTGTGGTTGCTAGGAGCTCTGCTGCTGGAGCTAGCCTGCATGGATTTGAATTCTGGCTCTGCCACTTACTAGGTAGGAGACCCTGAGCAAGGCATTTGACCCTGGTATGCTTCATAAAGTCTATTTGTCTGTAAAATGGAGCTGACAATAATATCTACCACATAGAATTGTTATGAGAACTAAATGAGTTGATATCTGTAAAGAAATTACAATAGTGCTGGGCACACAGAAAACACTATTTAAATATTTGTTCTGTAAAACAGTGTAAGTTAATTGTGATCCTGGACATTTTGCTTTTATTTTTTCATGTGCAAAATCCTGATTTTTATCTCAAAAGTATATGTAAATGAAATGTCAATAGTAACTATTGCTTGGAAAGTCTTTGAAAGAAAGTTGGTAGAAGTTACTGTTTACTGTGTAATTATCAGTACTATCAGAATGCATCTTCAATAGAAGGTAGAATAACTCTTAACTAATATGAACAGTGGATTTTGATCAAACACCTTGTTTTCTTTTGCAGCTTTGCCCTAGATAGGAAGGATAGCTTTTTCATGGCAGAAGATATCGGATCAATCATCACGACCCCACCAATTGTTGACATAATAATTAATCCATATAAATTACCCAAGTGATATTAAGAAAATAATTTATATAATCTATGATGTGAGAAATCACTTGTTTCATTATTCATCACCTGTAATGCAATTTTGATTTAATTTAGTTTGTTTTATATTATTTTACTGCTCTATTAACTTAATGATTTGAGTAATTACAGTTTGTGATATTAGGTAATAGGTTTAGAAGATATTATTAGATAATTCATGATAAAATGTTTATGGATATTATAGAAAGTTCTGCTATTTTAACCTGAATGCTGCGTATAGTTTGATTATAATGAATTTCTTTTCTTTCTACATAATTCATATAAAACAACTATAAATATAATTTTCCATTGATACAGAATTATCATAGTTATCAGTATTATTTAACATAGAATAGACAGCTAATAGTGCCCTAGGCCCTCCGTTTTTCATGTATCTATGGGAGTATGATACTGTCCCTGGAGGATTCTAATGTCAAATGAAGAAAATAAAAGATTTGATTCCGTACCATGTTTATTTCCCAAGACTACTGCTAATTACAAATCTCCTTATATTCCTGCTTCTGCTCTTGGAAATTCCTCATAAGTGTCTTTGTCCTGACTTTATAGCATTTCCTTCTCATCATTACTAGAACTTACACTTTGAATAGTGTTGTTTTCATTTGTTCATGTGGATTTCCTTGACCATTTCTCTCTAAACATATATAGATTGGACTGGCCTAATGCTAATTAAGATTTTTCACAGGAAAACAGCTTCTATAGGTACACAATCTCTTACTTGCAATTCCTAATTTCCAAAGCTTTGAAAACTTGAAAAATCCGGTAACCCATTTGAGACCATCCTGGCTAACATGGTGAAACCCCGTCTCTACTAAAAATATATAAAAAAAATTAGCCAGGTGTGGTGGCACTCGCCTGTAATCCCAATTACTTGGGAGGCTGGGCAGGAGAATCGCTTGAACCCGGGAGGCAGAGGTTGCAGTGAGCCAAGATCATACCACTGCACTCCAGCCTGGGTGACAGAGTGAGACTCCATCTCAGAAAAAAAAAAAAAGGTAACTCATGTGCTGGCAAATCTGACCTGAATTGACATGAAATTATTTGTAGTCTTTGTCTGATTTATTGTGAATATTAATACATTTTACTACAGAAATGTAAATGGTTTGTGTACAAGATGCTGCTCCAAGGCCCTGATGGAGGTGTTATACAGTAATATACATATTAGTATATAATATAGTATATATAATGCATTATAGTGTCTTTCTAAAATCAGAAAAAAAAAAAAACCCACATATTTTGAAATACATTTGGCTGCAAGGGTTATATGCAACCTGTAATCATGGTTGTTTTTCATATTCTGTAATCATAAGCACTCTATGGCCAAAGAATATAAAATTTATATTCCTATTAGGAATGTTTAACTTTTTCTATTAGATTACCTGTAATAGTAATAATACATCAATGATCTATTATTAAATTATAATCAGTGGTTCTGCCTCCCTTGAAACAAACAGTTATTGTTAATATGGCTAGTCAAATTCTCAAATCACATGTTTTAAAGCAATATTTGACTGGCTCCACATATTACTTCCAAGGACTGGTGATGAATTCTAAATTAACATTAGCCACATAAACAGTTTCACAGCATTTGAGCACGATGGCTCTTTATGGGAAGTCTTGGGATACTAACATCATATATTGTATCTATATATGATTCTTCTCTCCTTTTCTACAGTCTGGGGGAGGAAATCTTTTTATATGAATTGCATTTTTGTTACAGTAACATTTCTTATATAGAATATGTAAATTGCTAACCACATAATCCTTTAGTGAGAGAGTTAGTTATAATTTGCTTGTACAAATCTAATTTGTTAACTATCATTTTTAGGTATTTACTACCAGGGAGTACCCAGTTCTTCTTGAGAACACCGACTTACAACTTGAAGTACAATTCACCTGGAATGACCCGCTCCAATGTCTTGTTTACATCCAGATATGGCCATTTGTGAAACAGAAGGGAAGACTGCCATTGGTTATACATAATAGCAATTCATTTTTTTCCCCTGAAGTTGAACATGCAAAGAACATGACCATTAAGTGCTGTTTTATGTATATAAGACATATATATGTGTGAAAATATATACACATATGCACTCAAATAACATATATTTATTATATTAAATAATATATGAAAGAAGAATTAGCAGAACATGGAATATAAGACTTAACCTTTCTGGAAATGTAATAAACCATGTTAAAATTGTTTACACAAATATGTGAATGTCTAGAACTTGCTAGGTTTATAATTAATTCCTTCCTACTAGAAATGTTATTTTTGCTGCAGAGTATATAAAAAAATTGATCTTGAAGATCCCATTACAGTGTTAAATTATTTTCTAGATAACATGCCTTTTGACATGAAAAAGGGTTTAGTATAATACCTTAAAAATTCTCATATATACTAGCCATTTTAAATGAAACAAAAAGATTTAGAAACCTGGTGTTGCTAAGATTAAGACATTTAAAATGGGTTTATCATTACTATAGCACACTGTAAAGTACTAGAAAATTCATAACCTGATTCTCCAACCTTTTTATTTCTCTCTGTGGAAATTTAGCTGCTTGTAATAACATAGATTTTCGGTAAGGATCTAGTGAGATCTATTATGATCTAAAATGGAAGACAGGCTGGGGGCAGTGGCTCATGCCTGTAATCCCAGCACTTTGGGAGGCCGAGGTGGGTGGATCACCTGAAATCAGGAGTTTGAGACTCGCCTGGTGAACATGGTGAAACCCTGTCTCTACTAAAAACACAAAAATCGGCCATGGTGGTAAGCATGTGTCATCCCAGCTACTTGTGAGGCTGAGACAGGAGTATCACTTGAACCTGGGAGGCAGAGGTTGCAGTGAGCCAAGATTGTGCCATTACACTCCAGCCTGGGTGACAAGAGTGAAACTCCACCTCATAAATAAATAAATAAACAAATAAATAAAATGAAGATAAAAATAAATAAAATAGAAGACAATCCAGTGGGTTAAAAATAAAATGTAAACTTTCATTTTTACTTTTCATAGAGAATCACATAAAGGAACAGAAAATGGTGGTAACAAAATCTTTCTATATGGTTTTTATGTTTTATACCACTCATTTTTATTTGGAAAGTGTATCTTTGATGGGTTTAACATATGGTTAAATTCAATTTCTCCTGTTTTGCAGAAGTAGAAGAGCTGACATTTTAGTGTCATAGGATAATGAGACAAACTTATTTTTATAAATTGTTGAAACCAACTTATATTGTAAAGTCTAATACAGTAGTTTCTCATTGCACCATAGAAAACAATTAAAGGATTGTGAATAGAATATTTTAATTACCACATATTACAACTCATCAATATACCCTTGAGGGTTTTTTAAAAAATCAAAACAGAGAACGAAGTGTTCTTCTTGTCCAAAATTATTATGCAAAAGCTTCATAGCAGTTCCTTTTCTTGAATACAGTTTTTAAAACCAAGAATGAGCTTTCAGTTTTCCATAAAAATATAAACAGCACTACCTTGACATTGAAATCATTAGTGCAACCATCACTTCTTAGAATTTATTTAAACTTCCTCCCTCAACAGTTTTATTTTCTCCCAGCTGCTAATTATTTTCCAAATTCATGAATGTTTTACCTCCTTTTTCTGTTATAAAAGCTATTTCAAGAAATGGCCCCAAAGCAGGAGAACTGAGAGGGGCAAGTTGGCCTGGTTTAATTCACAGCCGGAATAATTGGCAACCCAAAGTTATAAGTTAGATGTATTTTGCTTTTCAAGCCATCTTCTGAGTCTTTTTTAGGCTGAAATAATTTGTTTCTTTCCTAAATTATTGCTAGCTACTTGATTCTTTATGACTACCTAACATCCATATTTGGTACTTTTCCTACTTGCATTCATCCCAAAGAAGACTGCTATTTTGTGGAAGAAGAGAATAAGGGTATCAGAATGAAGGAAATTACAGTGACTACATTGTTTATGACTCCATTTTGTAAATTCTTAAATATGTTACGGATTTTTTAGAAAAAATAATGCCAAAATTGGGATACTACAGAATCACCTAAGAATGATCAACAAGTAATAAGTCTTCAAGGAGTTCATTTTTCTTTTAAATTCATGATTTGGCCCATATATATATATATAAAGATATATATATCTATCTTTAAGTGTCTATGATATCGGCCCAGTTTGCCACTCATTTTGCATTATCTTAAATCACAAATGGTTACTTTGTTTGCTAGAGTGTGTGCTTTGCAACTTTTGTACAAGAGCAAAATTTTTATTTAAAACAAAAAATAAGAATGTCCATCACTAGGAGAAATGCTCTTCCCAGAAAACACAAACATACTCACATATGTAAACATACACAAATTTAAACTCTGAGAGTAAATTTAAATACATCAAACTACCCAACAAATTGATTTCAACAAGTACATTTCATTTCTCTAGCTACTTATATCTGGCCTTATTTTGAGAGTTCAAATTTTATTGCCTTCATTTGCCTATTTAGACTGATCTAGTTTCATATGATGAAGTTGCAAATAAAAGCCTTGTGTTCATTATTTATATATACTACCTGGTATGCTATGGGCTATGTCTGCTGTAGTGCTCTTCCCTAATGAGCAACTAAGAAGAAAAGACACAACAATAAACCATGGTAGTCCCGGGAGGCCATCGAAATGTTTTAGAGGTATAAATTATTTCCCAGTTTTTATTATAAATTTTTTATTCATAGGTTAAAACATATCGGTGTAAGTGATGGTACAGGTCTGACTCCCTTTTCTAGGAGAGAAAATAGCTTTATCTGAAAACTCCAAAAGCGACTTAATCTTACCAGAGGTTTTTAATAGGGGAACTTGGCTTACTTACAAGGAAAGCATATTTTTATTCTGCTGTAGAAAAACAATATCCCTGCTCATTCAGTAAATTTAAGATTGGAATGCTTTCTAGAACTGGGCAAGATTTGAATAATTTCTAGAATTGTCTAAGAAGCAACCTTTTTATTTTAAATCATTACCTACAGATATAGTCTGAGACTGCAAATTAGTTTTCACTTGTATAATCCAGCATTGTAGATTAGTTACCATTCACTCTATATAATTTATTGAAGGAACTACTGTGATTCATATTTTGATTAATTTTACTAGCAACAAATTTTTATTTTAGTGGCATTGCATTTACCTTAAATATTTAAAAATGAAGTTGTAACAGGATCAAATATAGAAATGGCAATGGCAACTCAGCCTGGAACATAGTTGAATGTTCTTGATTATCTGTAAGATGCAAAGAACTTTACAAATTTTATCATATGTCAAAATTATATCTAAATACACAAACAGTTTCAACTGTTTCTTCCTCCCTAAAACTAAAATCAAACCAAACCCAAATGAAGAAACCTAAACTTCTTTTCATCTAATATTTATACCCAACTAGGTAATAATAGCTTCTAGACATCAATAAAAAGATTTCATTTTAATTCTCTTTTTAATTTGTAAAGGATATGAGTATGGAATTTTGTATGTAACTTGAAATTTTAGATGTTTTAATAATCCAAATACTTTTTTCTTTAGGATGTCAAAGTACTAATTGTTTAAAAAATTTCTTTAGCTCTAAACATATACATTACTTTTTCAAAAGTGTCAATGATTGATAGCTGCAGAAATGCCATTATTTGATTTTTCTGTAAAACATTGATTCATTCTTAAATATATATTCTTTAAAAAAATAATAAATACCTCAAGAGTGACAGAAAACTTTCCTTTTCTGTTCTGTGATGCTAATTTAAACTTTGAGTCTTAGTTTACATGGTTCTAGGGGTTAAATAATGAAATGTATAACTGTACAATTAATTGTGTTCCTGTAACCTGATGATTTTTTGAAAATTTGCTTTTCTCTTTAAATTAAGAAATTTAAATTTTCAAGGGCCATATTGGTTATCTAACTATTTTGGGCTAATGTTGACTTATAAATAAATAAAAATTTAGAAATATATTCATGATGACAATTTTGTTACACTGCTTATTCTTTATTTATTTATTCTTTTTTAGTTCAAAGGTGAAATTTTGACCTTTGTATTAACAAAGCCAAGAAAAGAGAAATCCTACCTTTTAGACATCGGTTTTCCTTGCATTTTATGGTGGTGTGGTTTTGCCTCAGCAATAATAAAACATAGATAAAATATGTTGTTGCATCAAGTTCAGTTTGTCTGCTGAGCTTTTTTTTAAGAACCAGGTTGAAGTCTCTATGCCTAAAAATGCATTAATTGTCTGGATCCATATAAAGCCAGATACATGGCTATAAGTAAGTCTTGCAACCAAAACTGGTATATTAAAATTTACTGCACATTTTGAGATTGCTGCCATTTTTTGGTCCTTTTTGGGCCTTGTCATAAATGGGTATATGGTATACTGAGGAAAAATTATTCAAGTTAAACACATGCTACATAAACTGTGCTGTATTATCTAAGTAGAACTATAATTAATGGACCAAATAATTCCTAAATTAGTAAGAAGGCTTCCCCTACAAAAAAGTGAGATAACACTGATATTTCTGTTTCAAAGGCTAACAGCAATTCTTGGTCCTGATCTATTCAATTCATACAATAACTACTGTACATGCTAAAACATTTGAATATTAATGGATTTGCCGAAGATTCTGGGTGTGAGGATTAGCTTGAAAGCAATACATTTGCTAACATAAATCATGACTCAAATTATCCCCATGTGCTTTACTACCTGTATATGAATGCAAATGCTGTTACAGAAAATGTGCTTGAAATGTCAATACAGTGTGCAATTAGCGTTGCATTGCCATGCTCTAGCATGTGATTATCTGTATGGTGAAGTTATTTTAATTACTCCAGTATGTTACTATAATAAAAAAAAGTTTAACGTAAGAAAACTACAGTATGTCATCAAATGCTTATTTCTGATTTACACACACGCGTGCGCACACACACATACACGGTTTTTTGTAATAGAAGAGATTGACTCCCAATTAAGGTTTCAGAGTGATGAGATATGTTTTTACAGAAATTTTTACTGTGTACAGACTGCAATTGCACTATGGGGATAACTTTACCTGCTGTTAAAGTAGGTCAAGTCAACAAAATTGGTGTCAACTCCTCTCATAAATAGCTTGAAGGCCAGCTGTTCTAAAATTTAGAAATTACATTTTTACATCTTTCTAGCATCATGGATTATAGCAAAAGTATTACTAATGTGATTAGAATTATGTCAGCATCTCAGCTATGAAGTTGATTTTTTTCAGTAACTTACAATGTCGTCATTGTTAAAACTTAGAACACTAAGCCTCAACAAAAACAAAAACATATCATATTGCTATTTGTGCCATTGTTCTTTAGGATGATTATGTATAAAGTATCTGGAATAGTTTTCCTTTTAAAAAAAGATGCATTTTGGATAAAATTTAGGAAATTGGAATGTTCATGTCATATGCCTTGCTTTTTGGAATTGATAACCAAATGGTATAACGATTGACTCTTAAATATATTTTTAAAAATTCATTATTATTTTTATAAAGTTAAAATATTCTATACAGGCTTTTAAAGTTGAATTGATTTTTTTCAGTGGCTGCTAAAGATGAGGCCAATGTGGGTAGTTTGCTATCTCCCTATTTTATAAAATAATTTTAATTATATATATATAATTTCATTTTTAATTGAATGAAAATCTTTTTAAAATTATAATCTTGAATAATTTGAAGTTTTAGAAAACTATATGGTACCTTAAAAATAAACATTTGGTTCTTTTGTAGTGAGTAAGATAATCTTTAACTTGGAGAGAGTTATCTTTTAATGATTATTCATCAGGTATGTATACAGTATGGTGACAATGATGCCTGTTGCCATGGTCAAGTAAATTTGGAAAACACTGGGTATAAAAGTGGAATGTGTTTCTCTCAGTACTTCAAAGAGTCTTTAGTATCCTCAGATACATTGAGATTTTTCCAGAAAGGGACAGGAACATGCATCAGTTCCCAAAATTTCACCATAGTATCTTTTATTGCAGTGCATCTCCCAGGACTAGACTTCTATTGAGCACACATTGGAATACACCAAAATTCTCAAATTCATTCACTAATAAAGTAATCAAAACATTTAATCATGTATTTATCAAATATACACTGGTGGTATAAATATGAACACTGACAAGTCTAGTGCAAGAAATCTACTTGGACTTATCACTTGAGAATTTGGTCATTTCCAGGGTAATATTTGAACCAGGGTTTCAGAGGGATGGCTTGAGGCCAGAAAGGATATCCAGAGGTAAATAATCCTAATGATAAGCATGCATTATATTAGATATTTGCAACATAATCATGATATATGAAGATGCAAAGTGCTTAAGAATGTAGCCAGAATGTGATCCAAGCCCTTATGAATAGATCTTAATCATTTATTGGGTCATATATGATAAAAGTTTGTTTTTAATGAGTGTCTAAAGTTGTCCATCAGCAGATGAGAGCTTTGCATAATAACAGGATATATCTAGAAACACTTGCTGGCCATCTGAAAGTATCTTCATATACAAAACAAAAAGGCCTGTTTGTGGCTGACCTACTTCCTTTAAAGCTAGAATTTATTCAGAGTTTGTCATATTTGTGAGAGACAGTATGTATCAAGTCAGATATTTTTTCCGTGTCTAAGTTTTCTTTAAGCAACCTGTTAGGCCTTAAGAAATTTGATCAAACTCCATTTTGTATTGTCCCATGTGAAATACTGCTAAATTAATCTCCCTCTTAAAAAATATAATATACCACTATTCCGTATATTTAGGGAGTATATGCTGATGGCACATAGTGTCTAAATTGAGCTATTTTATATAGTCATCAAAAATACTAAGATTATTTTAGACTGAGTAGTGTTTTCACTGTTGCACAGCAATGGACACTCATTGTTTTTGAAATGTTTTATTAAGGCAGCCTTCAGTCTTTGACATTGTAATAGAAACATACAGTGAGGATGTGTAAATCCAAACTCTTGGATAATAAAACTGTATATTAATGTATTTAGTCAAGTTCTGTCCTATTACAACTATGCTGCTATTAGTGTTGGAATAAATTGAAAAAGGTCAAGAAACAATAAATTTTTAAACCTGCAGCATGCTGTTAGCAGTAAAAACATTATCCGTGTGTTCATAATATATTGGATTTAGAGGAAAAGTATATGACACAGTGTATTTGAAAAATCTAGGTATATAAACCTTAATACAATCTAAAAAAAAAATACCATTTCA